GGGGGGGGAAGAAGATTTGGAGAAAATAATAAAAATAAAAATCAAGGTGGAAATAATAATAATCAACAAAAACGAAAATATCCACCTTGTGGAGTTTGTAAGAAAATCAACCATCTTGAGAAGGATTGTTGGTACCGGAATAAACCACAATGTAAAAATTGTGGTAAATTCGGTCATGTGGAGAAAAATTGCAGCGCTAAAGGATATCAAGCAAATTTCTCTGAAGAAAATGAAAAAGGAGAAATTTGTTATTTTATGCAAATCAAGCAACTTCAGAAGAGAAAATGATATTTGGTTCCTAGATAGTGGCTGTAGCAACCATATAACCGAAGATGAGAAGAAATTTAAAAATATAGATAGATCTGTAAAATCACAAGTTCGGTTGGGAAATGGAGATCTAGTAGAAGTTGAAGGAAAAGGCTCAATAGAAGTCGAGACTCAAAAAGGTACTCGTCTCGTTGAAGATGTGCTGCTAGTACCAAAACTTGATACTAATTTACTCAGCGTGGGACAAATGGAGGAAAGAGGATACACACTACTCTTTAAAGACTACTCTTGCACCATTTATGACAACAAAAATACTCCCATAGCTGTAGTAAAAATGCAACAACGAAGAAACTTTCCGCTCCGTTGGAAATACATAGAAGCAACACTAAAAGCCCAAGAAGACCAATCCTGGCTATGGCACCGAAGGTTCGGGCACTTCAATTTCAACGGGCTAAAGTTACTTCATCAGAAAAATATGAAAAATATAACAGCCATTCAAATTAACGACAATCTCTGCAAAAATTGCATGGAGAAAAAACAACATAAAAAACTGTTTGTTATGTTTTTGTGCTTATTTTTATATGTATATATGTGTTATCGAGTCATTTTTAGGTTCATTTTAGGGTCGACTGGTCTATTTTATCGTTTTCCATGTGTTTTTGTGTTTTTCGTTTTATTTTATATTTTGGCGTATTTTTCCGTGTTTTGGTTTAATTTTCAGGTTTATTCCGAGGATGAATGAGAAGAGTCGAGCGAAGTATCCGAGAATTTCGAGAAGTGTCGAGGCATTTCAGACGAACCATTGTCAACCGAGTATATCGAGTCTTAGTCAAGTCGGATGCACATGCCCACACGCACACACGCGTGCTACACTGCCGCACGCCTGCGCCCAGCGCGCCACACACTGCTGCCCAAACGGACTCGCGTGCTCGCGGAAGCGTCCGCGTGGTCGAGAGTGCCGCGCGTCGCCACGCTCGCGAGCTCGCGCCCAAAACCGCGACGTCGAGAGTCTGGCATCCCAGCGCGCTCATTCCATCCGCCTAATCCGCGACTCGCAAATCCTTGCGCGCCATCGAGAGTGTGATGCCCAGCGCCCGCTTGCTCGCGAATTTTGCTGCGTGGTCGAGAGTTAGTTACTAAATGTGCGTGTTTTAGTGTGTGTTTTGTGGTGTAGCTATATATAGACATCTTGCTTTGTATTTTTGGACACAACCCTCATTTCCCAACTTTTGAGTTGGGAATTCCTCTCTATTTTCTCTTTTTCTT